GGGATGTGTTGCCACACCCACCATACTCGCCTGACCTTGCGCCGTCAGACTTCCTACTTGTTTCACTCTCTTCAAAACTCCTTGCGTGGTATAAAGTTCAATTCAGATGAGCCTGTAAATCAGCACCCTNTCTGTTCCCCTTCCCCCAATTCCCCAGCACCGTTCCCAACCCCAATTCCCCAATAAAAACAAAATCTTAAAAAAAAAAAATGTTTTCTAGTTTCCATTAAGATTTTCCTTTTGCCATTTTTTATTTATTTAGAAGTGTACTCCTTAAGTTTCAAGTATACAGCCCCTAACCCCTGCATTTCTTTAAAGTTTTACCACAAATGCCTACATCTCAAACAATACTGTAACATGACATTAGCATACATGCTTGTAAACTTTCCATAAATGGGATCATGCTCCATGTAATTTCTAGGAAAAGGATTGTTTTTTACTCTGTTGTACTTTTATGAGATTTGAAGTCGTTGACACTTGTTGCTCTACTTTGTTTTTCACTGCTGCACAGTAGTCCATTACAGAACCCCATCACAATTTAAACATGCCTGATTATGGGCATTTAGGGGCTGTTACCAAATCTCGCCATTATAAAATATTATAAGAAACAGCTTTCTATGTGTCTTCTCATGTACATATGCAAGGTTTCTCTAAAGTATCTAGTTAGCAGACTGCGTTTTCAACTTTGTTTTTACCAAATTGCTCTCTAAAGATGCATGCAGCAACCCTTGTACAAGTTACTCTTTTATCAGCAATGTATTGGAATTCTCTTCTGATTATGTCACATATTTGCTGACACTCTGTTTTGATAATCTGATGGATGTGTAATAATGGGCCCTAGCTGTAATGAGCATTTTCCCCGCCTTCCCCGCCTTTCCACGGAGGTTTAGCAACTTTTCGTGTTTTTTTTTTTTTAATATTTGTGTCTCCTCCTCTGTGAATTATGTTTGTATCTTTGTCCTTTTTTTCTACTAAATTGATTTTTTTTTTCTGATTGAAATCAAGTTCTTCAATATATTGTGGATACTAACCCATTTCTGATTACAATTAAACAAAAATAGTTTCAATCAGTCTATGACATAAATCTTTTAGGATGCTACATTATTATAAGACTCAAACCACAGGAAACAATACACTATTTACTGATAAAACTACACAGTAAAAAAAAGGGTATAACATAACACAAACGTAAAAATTTGGTTATTTCTCAGGAGAGGCAAGGTAATGTGAATGGAAAGTAGATGCAGTAATGATAATGTTCTTGCTTTTAAATTGGTGGTGAATTCACAGATGTTCATTTTGTTACTACCCATTATGGCTTATATATGACATACAACCTTATGTATGTGTCACCATATTAAACACAAAAAAGGAAAGTCATTTGTAGTATACACAGACATAGATACACACACCGTCATCTGACAGATAACATGCTTATAAATAAAAGAAATGTCTGCCTTAGGTACATTTTGGGAGATAGTGAATGAATCAGAAAGAAAGAAGACAAAGAGAAAAGGAAGGAAGTATGGAAGGCAGGGAGGGAGTAAGAAAAAAAAGGACAAAAGGGAAGAATAGGAGGAGTGAGGGGGGGAGGGAGGGAACTTTCCTTATTCCAGAGTCATTATCTCATTATTTTCCTCTTAGAGTTTTAAAGCTTTGCTTTTCACATTTAGGATTTACTCTACCTGGAACTGACTACACTGTATGATATAGAGAACAGAATCCAATTTTCTACCATATGGATAACTAATTGCATCATCACCTTCTGTTGAACAGTTCATCATTTCTAACGCTATTTCTACCATAAATTATATTTCCATATGTGAGTTGGTTTCTTTCTGGGCTGTTTATTCTGTACCAGTGGTCTCTTTGTTTATCTTTGCATCTATACCACAGTATTATTATAGCTACCAAGTAAGTTTTGTTACCTGGTAGGTCAAGTTCTTCCACCCTGTGCTTCAAATTTACCTTTTCTATTATTGCCCCTTTCCATATAAATTTTCTAATCACCTTGTCTAATTCTACGGAAAGCCCAACTATAATTATCAATGTTATTGAAATTAATTTATATATTAACATGAGGAAAACTGACATTGTCAAGACATCGTGTCTTCATATACATGAACATGAGATATATTTCCATTTATTTAGGTATATTTTAA